GCAGAACGCCAGTGGCCAGGTGCCCCTGCAGTGTCCCTGCCCACCAGCCGTGCCCGATGGTCCCCGGGACAACCGCACACCACAGCCGTCAGCCCCACTGCTCAGAGTCCCCAAGGACACCTGTTAAGTCTCCGCTGTTCAGCCTTCTCCTGGGGGGCCCCTGGGGCGGGCAGGACTGAGGGCCTGTCTTGGGGGTAGCCGCCCTGGGCCAAGGCTGGCGGGAGGGGCGGGCGGCCTCCACGGGCGGCAGGCCAGGAACTCGGGGGGCGGGGGGCCCGGGTCCACACATCAGCGCTCTGGAGAATTTTTTGAGGGCAAACTTGTCTGTGTTGTGATGAACTGAAGTGTGAATCCTGAACCGCCTCTGCTGGCTCGTGGGTTGAGGCTGGAGCGTGGCTCCGGCCAGAGGCGATGCTGGTTGGCGCTTCCCCCAGACCCGGCCTGCCCCTCAGCACCGCCTACCCTGCAGGCTGCTCAGCCTGGGAATGTGGGCTGGAGGCAGACACCTGGCCCGGGAGAGGAAGCCTCTGGGTGTGTGGGCTTTGTGAGTCTTCTGTGGGGACACGGCTTGGGGGCCAAGTGCCCCAGAATAGAAACCCCACCCCCCTCCCCAGCTTGGCCCAGAAGCCCAGGCCCCATGTGGGCAGCCGGGCCTGGGGGCCTCTTTCTGCCCTTCTCTTAATTTCCTTTGCCCTTGGACACCAGGGACTGGGCTGCTTCCTGCCTCTATCCTGGGTAGCCCTGAGAAACCCCTGGGGGCCTTCTAGACCCCAGCACACCGCTGTCTTTCTAGGGACACTGGCCCGCCGCGACGCGTTGACTTGTTCTGTGTTTTGCAAGTAGCAGTCTTGAATACCAGCTCCTTGCCGGCCGGCCGCTCATCTCCCCGAGGAGAGGTCCTGGGCGTGGACGGGCCTTGGCTGCAGCCACCCGAGACATCAGCTCTCGTCGAGGGTCAGATTGGCTCTAAGTCACGGTTCTTCACGCCGGCTCTGAGGGACGGTCTAGGCATGTGCTAGTTAGACCATGTCAGGGGGATGGCCCTGTGTATAGACATGACTCTGAACCCGTCAGTCCATCCATCCGTTTGTTGGGCCCCGCCATGGGCCAGGCACCAACCTGCTCTGGGGACTCGGTGGGACCCGGGCCGATGCGGAGTGCTGGGGATATCGCTGTGAGTGCATAAAGTTATGCCATCGTCGTGGAGATTTCAGAGAAGGGTGTGAGGTTCTAGATGCTTCTGTTTTCAAAGGATGAAGGAGCGTTTGTTGGAGAGGATTTAGTTTGCGAGTGGAAGAGATTGCATGTACTGGGAATGGGGCATGAAAGGCCAAAGGCCCAGGGCAGGAAGCAGGGGCCAGACCCCATATACTTGGCCAGAGAACTGGCCTGACCTCTGCTTCACGGTGGACATGTACCAACGAAGGGCTGGGCAGGGGTTCGAGCAGGAGGCTGAGGCAGGACGTGGGCCCAGCAAGTCTGGTGGGTGTGAGCTGGAGGTGGCATCCAGTCCTGTGCTTGGGAGGGGTGGGGGGTGGGGGGCCAGGCCTGCAGGAGGCTGGGCACAGCCAAGGAGGCCAGCTTGGATTTGCTTCGTCCAGCTGGATGCCCACAGTGGGGGTGTGTGTGCTGTCCACAGAACTGGCCTCTCCCTGCAGGACACACCCAGGACTTCAAATGAAGTTGGTCCAGGGAAAGGACTTTGCGGGGGCGGGGGGGTCCCCATGTGTAATAATTTCCCAAGGCTGCCCTAATAAAGTCCCCAACCCTGGGGGCTTCAAACGACAGACATTTACTCTCAGAGTCCTGGAGGCCGAAAGTCCCAAATCCAGGTGTCAGCAGGACCACGCTCCCTCCCGAGGCTCTGGAGGAGGGCCCTTTCTTCCTTGCCTTTTCCAGCTTCTGGTGGCTGCAGAAATCCACGGCGTCTGTAGTTTATGTCCACCTCACCTCAGTCTGCGCCCCTGTCTTCATATGATCTTCTCTATCTGCTCTTCTTATAAGGACACTTGCCATTGGATTTAGGGCCCATCTGGCTAATCCAGGATGAGATCCTTAACAACATATGCAAAAGTCCCTTTTCCAAATAAGGTCACATTCATAGTTCCTGGGGGCTAAGACTTAGACGTATCTCTTTGGGGACCCCCATGTAGCCCATGACACTGGGTGACCCCGGGCAGGGCTCTACCCTCTAGACCACCCACACCCTCCGCCCAGTAGCATCCTGGCTGCCTTGCTCTGGAAGGCAGCTTCCAGGCCCAAGTATGGAGAGAAGAGTGAGGCCAGAGAGAGGAGGGGGTTTGTGGCTGGGGGCCTTAGGGCTGGCTCTGGGCAGACCCAGGCACTGCAGGAGGGGCTGATATGAAGCATCTTATTTTGAGAGCTTGAGGTTTTTCCCAATATGGGCACCAGCCACCCTTCCCTGGGCCCAGGGCCTACTCCGAGCCCAGGAGGCCCTCCTTGGCACCTTCAGTGCCTGAGCTGCCCTGCAGGTTGAAGACAGGCAGGCAGGCACCGGGTTGGGCACGGGAGCCCAGGGTGCCCACGGGAGAGCCGGGGCTGGAGTTCCCAGGGACGTGGTCCCATTCCTCACACCTCCATTCTCTGGCCAGCTCGGATTTGCTCCGTTGGCTGGTGCTATGGCAGTGTCCTTGTGAGCAGTGCGGGTGAAGCTAAGACCAGCTTCACAGCTGTGAACACAGAGCTCAGGCTGACTCTGCGCCCAGCTACGGAGGTGGCATTGTGCTGGGCGTTGAGCTTGCTCCTGAGCAGACTGAGGACCCTGGGAACCCGGAGTGAAAGCTCTCCCTCTCTCTTTTTTTTTTCAGGCTGACCCTTGGCCCTGCCTGGCCCTGCTGGCTGGCTCCCACCCACCGTGGTAAGTGCCCTACGACTGGCGAGGCAGAGGGGTCCCCATGCCTGGCACTTTGAGGGGCCAGCCCTTAGGGTGGGGGGAGGACCTGCAACTTGGGGAGGGTGGGGTAGAAGACCAGAGCCGCCCGATGCGGGGACCCCAGCCCTGCCCCAGCCTCACGCGTGTTGCTGCTCGGATGCTGGTGTGGGATCATTTCCGTGGCTGTTTCTACACACCGTAAAAGGTCATGGAGCTGCCATTATTGGAGGGTGCTCTGTTTTCAGGAATATGGATGGCAGTGTGGATTAGCTGCAAGGGTTAAGTGCTGCCTCAGGAGGTAGGAGGGCACATGGAGAAACTGAGGCCCAGGGAAGGGGAGCCTGCAGAGGTCATGGAGCAGCCTGGGACTCCTGACCTCAGCCTCCCATAGGGAAACTAAGGCTGGAGAAGGGGCCAATGTGGGTCTGACCCCCATGGGGACACCCCGGCTGCTGCCTTGACCTCAGGCCTCCCCGTCCATCCCTCCTTCTGTCCAGTGAGGGGCGGTACATCCCAGGGAGAGCTGGCAGGCTCCCGGTTCTTGTCCCTGTGGTTCTCACCCCCACGCCTGGCCCCCAGTCTCCCTGGGCCTCAGCCACCTTGTTGCCCCTGGATTTCTGCCCACCCTGGGATGTTGCCCTGAGCCCCTGTCCTGTCTTTGACTTCCTCACTCCAGCCCCTCCCAGCAAACTTCGCCTCCTCTGTCAGACCCGGCCCCCTCCTCTGGAGGCCTCCCCTGATCTAGTGCTTGCTGGGCCTGCCACGTTCTCTCCACCCCAGAGCCCTTTGAGGCCGAGGCCCCCACCACAGCCCAGAACTGCCCCCCTGGCTTGTCCCAGCTGGATCATGGCCCAGGGGCTCCTCACCTGCTACTTTATCTCAACCCTCAGCACCCATTGCACAGATGAAGAAACTGAGGCTCAGAGGGGCTAAGTAGGTTGGGGCCACACAGCTGGCACAGGATGGAGGTAGGCTGAGTGTCCAGTGTGTCTTGCTCTGGGGTCCTCTATCCACCCTGGGCAGGCTGCAAAGGGGAAGCAGGGGAAGAAGCCCGCCTCTAAGCCACTGTTGTGGCCCTGTCTCTGCCAAAAGCCCAGTCTGCCCTCAGCCACAAGGGGGCGCTGAGGCTGGCTCAGGGGAGGCCGTGGGGGGGGGGGCGTGCCCAGCCTGGGGGGAGCTCACACACAAAGCCTCAGCTCCCCACCCTCCAACACACAGCACGAGGTCTGTGACCCCAGACAGGCCCCCAGGTGGCATGAGGGCCTTGGCAGAGGTCTGGGGCTGTGGACAAAGTGGGAGACGGAGGCCCCCCCAGCCCGGGAGCTGCCCTCCTCCAGTGCCCCAACGACAAGTATGTGGGATGGCTAGGTGCCAGTGTGGTCGATGTTGGGGGCATGCCCCAGGAAACTTGCTGGACAAGACAGTTAGCAACTCCCAGGGACCCCGTGGTCTGTGGCCTCTCTAACCCACAAACCTGCTGTGGGGGTCATCCCAGAGTGCTCCTTTCTTTGGCCTCCTGTCCTCTCTGGGACCCAAGCTCAGGAGAGGAGAGGCAGGGGGTGTGGAGGCTCAGCACTAAACAGCCCAGGCTTGCATCCCTGCTCCCCAAATTCTTGGCTGTGGGTCTGGACAGGGGAGGAAGCCCGCCTTGGTGGGGCAGCGTAGGCCTGGGAGGGGCCCGAGTGGGACCTGGGGCAGGGCTTGGCTTTGGCAGCACCAACAGAGAGGTGATCGCTAGAGGTGTGTGAGCCCAGCCCTGCACAGAGGCTGTGCCTGGCAGGCGAGTGGGAGAACAGCCATGCTGTTCACACGCACCGCCCGGGCTGTGCCTGGCAGGGCAAGGGATATGCCCAGGCCCAGGCCGGGAACCTGGTTCCTTGGTGCGTTGGTGTCAAAAGGCCGAGAGGTGGAGGTAGTGAGCTCCCTGCATGGGGTGTAAGCGCCGGCTTCTTGGTCGGGGAGGCGGTCTCTGGGGCCAAGGAGACAGAGTCTGACACCCAGGGCTGTGAAGGGGCTTCTGTGGTTTGCTGGAGAGAAGCTGATTCTGCCGAGGAGGCAATGGGAGTGTGTGTGGCGGGGGATGAGCAGGGAGCTTCCTCCCAGGGGACGAAGCTGGCCCTGCCTTGGGGCCTGGAGAGCTGTGGTCTCTGACCACAGCATGGGCTGGGAGGAGGGGTCGGCTAAAACTCCGCAGGCCTAACGGCGCTGACGAACGGTACAGCCCTGGGTCTCAAGCTGGGCCTCAGGACATTGGAGGGTAGAAAGCAGGAAGTGCTGGCTAGCCGGGGCTGCCCAAGGACTGGCAACAGGAAGTGTCGGGTGGGGAGGAAGCCCTGGTGGCCCCAGGCCCCAGATGGAGCAGGCGGCTGTCAGCAGGAGGGAGTTGTGGGCCTGAGCAGCGCTCAGACATGCCGGGGCATCAGGCCTCCCCTGCCTGGGGGAGGGAGGCTGTGGATCTGCCCTGTGACCCCTGAGTCACATGGCCTCCCAGGGCCTCAGGACACCTGCCCCTAGCCCGTCCACAGACAGGAGCAGAGCCATGTGCCGGGTCACTGCCTTCAGGTCAGTGGGGCTGCCCAGGGACTCGGGGCTTGGGAGGTGGTGCTGGCCCCGTGTTTGCAGGATTGCCTGGGGAGGCTGAGCTCTGGACTCCAGAGTTGACAGGCTGTGAGGAGAGTCCCGAGAGCCGGGAGGCACAGCGGGGGCCGCACTGCCCCCCATCATGTGCTGCTCAGCCTGCAGCTGGCAGGGAGGTGGGGGCCCGGGTTGGGGTGCGCCTTCCCACCATATATGCTGCCGGGTGGCCTTGCCGTTTGGGTCCTGTGCGCGCACACATTGAGTGAGTGTGTGTGCCCCGGGGGAAGCATGCTTGGGGGTCCGGCGCAGAGCTGAGGGGCCGGGTGGGGGGGGGCTCTCCTCGGGAAGCCCAGGTCATGCCCCTTCCCTCCGGCCTCTGTAGGAGATTTTGGTTTTGATTCTCTTATGGAGAAAGATTCTGGGAAGAGGAAGCTGGGGGGAGGGGGGACTGAAAAGGTGGAGAACAGATGGGCTGTGTATGCCCACCGCCACCTAGTGCGTTCCGGGAGCCAGGCGGGGAG